CACAGTCTACACTACGCTGTAGGAATTTTTAATTTTTTAAAAATTAATTAATGAATTCATTTTTTGCGTTTTCTCTGTGTTTCTGCCAGGACCGCAGGCAGGGCCACTCGCAGGTTGCTTCTGGGCCGCATTTGGCCCGCGGGCCGCCATTTGAATAGGCTTGAGCTACAGTGTGAAATATGTCATATGACAGGTTATATTTATCGTTTTTGTTGCATGTGAATCTCTGTGTAGTAGTTGCGTTACAGCAGCTGATTAAGCTGATTCACACGAGGCGTGTCGTGCCTTTTGAGTCCAGCAGCGGAGCGGAGTGCTGATTGATGTTGTGACATACTCGGGGGTGAGTTGCAGGTTAAGAAGAGAGAGGGATTTTTTTTTCGTTTTCCCAAGCCGAAGCTCTGAGGCTGAGCTCAGTTCAGGGTGATGACAGCTGCCGACAGTTTTTGGCTCCTCTCCCTCTTTCTCCACGCCAGGTAAAACCCCCACTCCCCCTCCCTCTCTCGCCGCCTTCAGCCGAGCGTCTCTCGCCCTGTCTCCCTCCGTCATGTGTCTCTGAGTCACGTCCCTCCTCACCTGCTCTCACCACCTTCAGACACTGTCAGTCACTACCTCTCTCCTGGCGCCATATGCAGCTTCTCCGTTTCAATGGGAGCTGTTTTTCCACTGGTTCTCTCAGGGCCACTTTTACATCGACAGTGTTACTATATAAACAGAAAACAGCGATCGGGTTGCAGCACCACTCATCCAGCGCCGACTCCTTCACTTCCACCTCTCACACCTTTGCTCTAATAGCCCAAAATTGAACGCACACTATTACAAAAAACACCCAGAAACTCAAATTCTTGCATCTGTTGCTTTAGAAGTAATTATCTGCAGCCTTTTCTTTTGAGAGGAAAGCAAGTAGAAAGAGACTATTGTCACTAGTCTGGTTTTCTGACCTGGGTGAATACATATGAAATCATTTTTTACAAATACAATAGCTGCTATTGTGTGTCTGTCACAATCACCCCGAATCCCAAGTTGCTCTTTTTCTAGATTTTCCATTTAGTTTTGCATCGGAAGAAGAGAAGCAGCAAATCCATGCAGATGAAAAAGCTGGAAGCTGCACGTTGAGACGTTCTTAAAGTCACACAGAAGACAATGCAAAGTGAATCCTCATGTTTATTCATTGTTACTGTATGCAGTAGTGCAAAGCACCCGTCTTTTTTTTTTATCTCAAAATCCTTGTGTCTCCGTATACATTCATATTTGATATATTTATCCTTTATTTATCTGCCCATAAAAAGCAGGAACTAGGAACTTATTCATCACATATCAGAATCCAACCATTAACAACTATTGGCTGCTAATTTAAACATAATTTTTAAAACCCTTGTTTAGTGAGTAAGACATACAAACAATCAGTAATTTATACGTCCTGTTTTATTTCTGACTTACTGTTTTGCAGTGTAAACATAATACAATGTTTCATTCATTTTAGTTAATTTATGTATTACAGAACAAAGAAGTCGACAGCACAAAAAATCCCGCTTGTAAGCGTTCGAGTTTTTGGTACCTACCCCATTGTTTGTGGGTCTGCTGAAGCCACAACATCACTGGGTTTTAAAGACAATACAACCGTAACAGTTTCTTTAAAAAACACTTGCAGACTTTAGTAAGCCTATAATTTGTTACATTTTTTTTAAACTTTTTGTCTCCGCTGGTTTATGTTTCGTTGCTATTTATCGTTGAATGGAAAAATTTAGAAAGAAGGAAAATGGTAGTTGAGTCTACTTGGGCACTCAGACAACAGGAGAGCAGAAAGGAAGTGGAAAAAGAACAAACTGCAAGTGTTTTATGAAATTTTAAGACATTTTCCAAACAAATATCAGGAGACTGCCGAGGCCTCAAGACCTGATTTCTACTCGTGCCAGTAGAATCGTCTTCAGTTCAATTCGGTTTTATTAATATAGAATAGAATAGAATAGAATAGAATAGAATAGAATAATCCTTTAATTGTCCCACAAGGGGAAATTTGGTTGTAACAGCAGCCAAAAAGACACATATACAAACAAACAGTACACAGGACACGGAACAGAAACATACACAATTTTTCTTACACATTTACATTAAGGACAGTGGTTACTAGATACAGCATCAAATCAAAACAAGACTTCTTCCGGACAACTGATTCTTAACCCCATTACCTTTGTCTTTCCAAGTATCTCTCCTGCACTGTGACAGCTTTCTAAATATTCCTCTTGATAAGATCTCACTTCTCAGAACTAATGCTACAATGAACAATAATGAGTCACCCACTCTTACCTTAACGGCTGTTTTTCATAACTGTGAGCCCGTTTCACTTACCGCCCCAACAACATGTTATCATCCCCCCTCGTCTGTAAATGGTCCATTCATTTTAACGACTAAATACTTGTTTAGTCTCATAGAGGGTGCCAGCCTACTTTAAACATGCAATTGTATGCCTTCTCATTAAGAAAAGAAATCTTGACCTTCCTTATTCGTCAAACTTTAGATCAGTCTCTGCCTATACCTCTCTGTTAGTTTTGGAGAAAGAGGTTTTCCACGATATTGGTGAGGTTTTTCCTTTCTGGCTTTAAACTCCGTCACAACAGAGAATCTGCTCTTGTAAGTTTTTGATAACCACTTGTGTATTTCGGATGGTTCTGGTAATACCGCTGTGCTCACCAGTACATCCAATACAATCGATCTCATTTCTTAAACTATGCAAAAAAAACCCTGACGTGATTCACTTCTCACGCCTCTTTAACATCGAGCTGACATTATATCCCAAAGAAAGTTTTTTCGATCATAACTTCCAACTAAAGTTAAACGATTTCTTTCAATCAACACCGGAGAGAAAATCATTCGTGCCGTTATTGCATCTATTGCATTTTATGCTGTGTTTTCCTCTCGTTGGGTCCAAAATCTATGTGTAGTTTCACACACTAAGAGTTTAAAGCAGGTTGGGAACACACACAGAAAGTCCACAGCAAACCTTTTTCTTTCATTCTTTCATTTACAATTCCCACAAGTCTATCAGCCGTGAGTGCAGTGAATACAAATGTGCAGGGAGATGTGCAGAGTGTGCTCAAAGAAAATATGTTTTCACAATCTCTTCACATAAAAGAAGTCAAGATCACTGAGTACAAAGCTGAGAAAAAGTCATTGAATCTTTTTTTTTTTTAGTAAACAATAAAAAATCCGACACATCAGAGCAACACACAGAGGTGGAAAAAAATACTGCTTGCATCATTTGTGATCTTTTCTTTTTTAAGAAAAGGGACTAACGAGTCACAGCAGTGTGTGACGATACAGTGTGTTAAAGAGACCTGCAAACCTGTACTTATAAACAAGTTAACAGTAATAACAGTAATAATGTTGAACGATGAGATGCTGGTAGTGTGCAGTGATTCTGGTTGGTGTGCTTTGTATTTCCACGTCAGATTCATTGTGTTACTGAAAGAGACTCGTACACACTCGTCTACTGACTGATGACACACTTCCATATAACAGTGGCAAAACCAATGCAGAACATCACACCACCGCTCCAAATTCACCAGTGATTAATGGGCTAGGCACGCTGAGTGGTCACTTTTTAAATAACACCGTGTCGAACACATTCGTGAGCTCCTCTTGTTAGCAATACTTTCTTCAGTCAAGGTCAAAGTTAAATAGTCAGGATTTCATTTAACCACTCGGCCACTGGGAAGTTTCTGTCCTGAAGCTCACCTCCTTTCCCCCTCCTCTTTCTTTCTCTTTTCATTTTTTCCTCTACTTTTATTAGATTATTCCTTTTGTGCCTTTGCCCTTCTGTTTTTTGAAACCTCACCGCTCTTGTTAATGACAGAGCGGGGGTTCAGGTTGGGGTTGCAGTGTTTGGGGTTGGGGCAAGACATTTGGTTCAGTCCTGTGCTACCCATTGAAGGTGACAGGAGGGGCTGTGACTTTGGGTTTTTGACCCCAGATTCTTTATTTTTACTAGGAAGGGATCCAAGGATGGAGCTGTTGATGTGAATAGCTGCCCAAGGTGACTGGATCCCAATAAAGAGGCCGTCACCCTGGCTGGGGGCCTCCTTCCCATCCGAGACACAACGTTTATAGGCCTGCTTATGAGCCTGGGCTACTATTAAACCCTGTCCGGCCTGCACTGAGGAATTTAGGGCCAGGAAACAAGAGAGTGGGGGTGGGAATGGACAGAGAGAGGTGAAGTTGGGGTGAGTGAAGGTGAAAGTTGAAAGGCACGTTCGAAAGGAATCTGCTTGTTTCGTAGTCGTCGCCTTTAAATGCGTACCAGGCGTGTTGCGGTTTTTGCTCTCTGACTGCAGCGCGAGGAGGCGCGGCTGATTAAACGCGTCATTGTATCCATTTTGTATCATTTGGTTTGAGCGTTTTCACATGCGGCAGAGGAATGGCATTGCCTGGGGTCAGCATATGGTGTTATACAGTGTGCAGTTTTCTTTAGCGCGACAGTGAGAAGGAACATAAGGAGACAGCAGAGTCTCATAAACATCTCATCTCTGTTTGTTCACATGGGGCTAGGGACGACCTTTCAAATAAAAATGGGAGCTTACACACACTCGTACACACACACAAACACACAAAAAAATTCAGATGCCAGTCAAAAATTCAACAGTGGTATCTCACCTCCCCCCACACTCACCAGTAAATGGAAAAGCCAATCAAATCTCAGCTGCCAATCAGATTTTTATCAGCAGGGCCATCTGGCCATCAGCTAATTGTGTCTCTTTTAAGTCCCTGTCAGTCAGCAGTGCCACCCCTCCTCCCTTTTCTCTTAAAAATGTCTGCCTTTGAGCTTGCCTTCTGGCTCCGAGGGGTGGCCTGCATGGGGTTGGGGGGGGTTGTTTGCTGACCTTTCTGTTAATCACTTTGTATTAGCTTTCATCAAAGTTTCAAAGACTTTAAGAATAAATATAAACAAGATGCTTTGAATTCATAAGAGTACTCAACTGTTTCTCCATTCTGTGCTTTTTCCGCAGCCGTGGAGACCCAGAGCACCAGTTCGGAGGAGATGGTGCCAAGCTCTCCTTCGCCGCCTCCTCCTCCTCGTGTTTATAAGCCGTGCTTTGTGTGCCAGGACAAGTCATCTGGTTATCACTATGGAGTGAGCTCCTGTGAGGGCTGCAAGGTAAATGAAGTTGGAGATACATGAGGAGTTTACAGGACATGTGTAATGTGAACAGCTGAGGTCCCCTGAAAAGAGAGGCAGACAGATGTGCGCAGAGATGTGCTTGCTGTCGCTGAGCTGCCCTCTAGTGTATCCATACATAACTGCACATGATTAAAGCTACAAATGAACAGTGTGCTGCTGTTTGTGACAGGCAAATGGCTTCTTTTGGCTATAAGTAAATAAAACCTAAAAATGTCTTCAGAACTTGTTTGTTTCAAGTGAAACAAGATAACTGCTCCAGTGGTCTGATAACAATTGCTGCTCCACAGTGCTGTGCTGTTTGAGCCATTACTCTTGTGGTAGCTGTGGCTCAGGAGGTAGAGCAAGTCATCCACTAACTGGACAGTTGGTGGTTTGATCCCTGGCTGCTCCAGACTGCTTGCCTAAGTGTTTTTGGCAAGATACTGAATCCCAAGTTGTTCCCAATGTGTTAACCAGAGTGTGAAAGAACTTAGAGTCAGAACAAAAAAGTGCTTGTGGGAATGAAACATGTTGTTTAAAGAGCTTTGAGCGCTCAAATAGAATAGAAAACCAGTCCAGGTCCCATAGCACTATGTCACATGCAACTACATTTGGACAATTTATTTCTTTACCCTTGGCTACCTCTCACGGTTTCACACCCTGTAATCACTGCTTATTTTTTAACCAGCTATCGCAGGTTAAACACTTACCGTCACACTAACACATCCAGAATCACCTCAACTCAGTTCACCGACCTAGAGCCTTGTTGATGTGAGATGACTGATGCACCGCTCCACTGCCCACCTCCCCGTTGTATCAGCTAACTCATGTAGCCACTTACAGTATGAAGTTGGCTGGTTAATGCTTTAGGCTCTCCTGCTTTTTAATCCAAAGTACTTTTAACGCGGCTGGCTGCTGTGACACGGTGTTCATTTGTCGTGGGATTTTGTAACTTCTGATGGGCTTTAACAAAAAAGCAATCATGAAAAATACATGTGCCAGTTTTTCTTTCAGCGTCTACTTGGGATCGATATCTGCTATAGTTCTGTGACATCAGAAGATTAAATTATTTAGACAGTCTTTCCACTGATCCACTAAATAGTACCAAATCCTGACTAACAACAGTAGCTTTTTTAAGTTTTTTATGTATTTATCGTGTGGCATCCATGTCCAAGACATTTTCCTGTGTCTGTTTTAGGGTTTTTTCAGGCGCAGCATTCAAAAGAACATGGTGTATACGTGCCACAGAGACAAGAACTGTCAGATCAACAAAGTTACCCGCAACCGCTGCCAGTACTGTCGGCTGCAGAAGTGCTTTGAGGTCGGCATGTCCAAAGAAGGTAAGCGTCTCAGATATTACGGGCTGCCGGTGTGTCGCTATCGAGGAAAAAGCAAAAGGAGTTGTGTCTTTTCCTCATCTCGTGCACGTGTGTCCCGGTAGCGGTGCGTAACGACAGGAACAAAAAGAAGAAGGACGTGAAGGAGGAAGTGGTGCTGCCCGAGAACTACGAACTAAGTGGAGAACTGGAGGAGCTGGTCAACAAAGTCAGCAAAGCTCACCAAGAGACCTTCCCGTCTCTGTGCCAACTAGGAAAATACACCACAGTGAGTCTTTTTTTTAGCACATAATTGCACCCACTTCTCGACACTCGCGCTCCACTTAAGCTCACCGCTTTGCAGGAAGGACAAACACTATGTGGAGTTTGCACAGTCACACAGAAAGGAAAAAAAAAAGTGTCCCTCTTTCTCTCTCCCAGAATTCAAGTGCTGACCACAGAGTGCAGCTGGACTTGGGCCTATGGGATAAGTTCAGTGAGCTCTCCACTAAGTGTATTATAAAGATTGTGGAGTTTGCCAAGCGGCTACCAGGCTTCACTACGCTCACCATCGCTGACCAGATCACCCTCCTCAAATCTGCATGTCTGGACATCCTGGTACTAGCGCCACGTTCCTATTACTCCTCCCCTTTAATCGACTACACCTCCACATCCCTAAGCTATTCTCTATTTGTCACGTTGCTTTGTGATTCTGAACAGCTCCCGTGAAAAAATTTCAACGTGAACTTCCGTCTAGAAATTTCTGGTTTGTGCCTCATCATATTCTTCCCCTGCTTAGATGCTGAGGATATGCACTCGCTACACACCAGAGCAGGACACGATGACCTTCTCAGATGGCCTGACTCTAAACAGGACCCAGATGCATAACGCTGGCTTTGGCCCGCTCACAGACCTGGTGTTTGCCTTTGCCGGTCAGCTGCTGCCTTTGGAGATGGACGACACCGAGACGGGGTTGCTCAGCGCCATCTGTCTCATCTGCGGAGGTAAACTTGGATGATTGTTCGGCGTCTGTTTGCATCGTGTCCGCTTGCAGTCGTGGAATTATTGATGGAAAGAAATAGACATCAGTGTACGGTCACAGTTTAGCAGTCAGTCGGTAGCATAAAGGCTGTAACAGTGTCTCGCTTCTTGTCATTGTTTTGCTGTGTCCACTCTCTTCACTTCACTACTAGACCGTATGGACTTGGAAGAGCCGGAGAAGGTGGACAAGCTGCAGGAACCGCTGCTAGAGGCCCTGAAGATCTACACCCGACGCAGACGCCCGAACAAGCCTCACATGTTTCCCCGAATGCTGATGAAAGTCACAGACCTCAGGGGAATCAGCACCAAAGGTTAGCTTGTTTTTTTCATAGCACAACCACAGTTTGGAATAGATCTCAGTGTCAAAGCTCAACACGCATAAGTACTGAAATATCTTTTCAGATTTGTATTTTTTGCTCCGATTAGCTCAGGCTCAAAGCAGTTAGCGGTTAGGAAAAGACTGATGATGCTGGTCTCAAACTACGCTCCTATTGCTTGTTAGGCAACCACTTAAATAAAATAAATGTTGCCTCAAAGCAATTTCGTAACATTTAACAGACATTACTGTAAATTCATGCTTGGAAGAAAGGTCTGCCAGACAGCATATTTTAAATTACATGACTCCTGTCTGTTAGCATGTGACGGTCTTTGTTTCTTCATACCTACGAGTAAATAAATGTCCATGTGTGTGCAGGTGCAGAAAGAGCCATCACGCTAAAGACAGAGATCCCCGGCCCCATGCCTCCCCTGATCAGGGAGATGCTGGAGAACCCGGACTCCTTCGAGGACAGCAGCGACTCGGGTGACAGCGGCGCAGCTGCTCCCCCTGCCATTCAAGCCATCAAGCAAGAGGACAAGGCCACGTACGAGTCAGCCTTCGAGGAAGAAGAGGAGGAGGAAGAGGACGACTATTGGGACGAGGAGAAAGAGCGAGGGGCAGAAAGCGACGGAGAGGCGTGGGGGGAGGCGGCAGCGGGCGCGCAAAAGAAAGGCGTGACAGGGAAGACGCAGTGAGACAGAGAAAGAGAGACACAAGACGACACCGCTGCCTCGCACGGATTCGCCGAGCGCCGCCGCCGAGCAACGTCAGCTCGTAGAAACCTCACAGATTAAAGCTGTTAAAACGGCGTTTCGCACAGCACATATCCGTGTATACTGTACATACTGACTGAAAGGAAAATGTGTTCAATTCATAGTAGCAAGTGAGGAATTTGCAGACGCAAAAGCACTACATTTCAGTGGATTGATGAGGGCACAGTTAAAAAAGAAAATCAGTGCCAGAATGTTTAAAAGATATATATATATTAAAAAAAAAAGGTTTTGTCCGCACAAAGACAGGAAAAACAGTTGTTGAGAGACAAAAAAAGCACTCCTCCGCTATCTATTAAGGGCTATGCTTTGTATAAAATTGATGGTAAGAGTACATTGCAGCGACAGAACTCTTATGTGGCGTCCAGATGCCACAGATGTCTTCTCAGAATTACTTTTATTACTATTCAGAGATATGCTACTTATTTTTTCATTGTATGGTTTTTATAAGCATGTACACATTACTGTTTTGTCTTTTGTTTGTTTGTGGGACCTCGTGTTGCTTTTTTTTCTTGTGTATATTTTCACACTCAGTGCTCGCATCTGACTGGACATTTGTGCTTTTTATCGTATGCGTTAGTTTTATCGGACACAGTGAAGCAATAGCAGAAGAAAAGAGGAAAACAAAAAAGGAAAAAGAGCAATAGCTAAAGAGTCATGGGAGTCATGAGCAGGACTCAAACTCAAAGTGTGATCATTCAGGATTGGTGATTGGCTAATCTGAAAGAAATGCAAGAGGACTTCAGCTTTAATTCAAACCCGGGTGCTTGTGGGCCAAATAATAAAAATGTCAGAGAAATGCGGGAAAACATATCTCCAGTTGATCAGGGCCACGCTTCAGCTGTTTTTACAGTATTTCTTTTCTTTTCCATCAGACGTTCTTCTTTCACACAGGTTAGGAATCATTAAAACTTTCAGTACATGCACTCGTTCAAACAACCAGGTAAAGTTAAGCCATAAGATTTTCTTCCTGTTGTTTTAAGGCAAGCAAAGACTCCACCAAGCAAACACAACCATTAAAAGCCGTTTACATCACAGAAACCTCAGATGTGTGTGTGCGTGAGCGTGTCCCAATAAACAGGGTGCTGTAATAGACACGTTACATCACTGCCATCATCCACAGGAGTGAGTGTCCAATTATCAGCATCTGTAAATGTGTATAAAATGGATTTTGCAACTAAAAAAACAAACAAACAAAAAACCATACAAATATTAGATATTTTTTTCTTTAGGTTGGAGAAATCCCTCGCACGTACACTTGTTTTGGGACTGCTCGAGTTCTGGCCAACAACCGTCCGACACAAACAGGCACTGAGTGACTGAGTGGGGCTCTCGTGTGCGCTATGTTGATAAAGACAGAAGGCGTGTTAAATAAGAAAGGCCCACCAAGTTTGCTCCTAAATTTGGTAATTTTGCTGTTTTATTGTGAAAACCTTAGAACCAAACAACCGTGGGAAAGGACAGAACACACCTTGGACACGATCAGCCCGACTCAAACTGTTCAGTATTTAAAAGTATTTCATATAACCATGATAGTTTGGAACAGGTTTTTTCCTTCTTTTATTTGTTTTAAAACCTTGTTAGTTTTTTCTGGATTTGAGCTGGTGCAGTTTAAAAAGAGCTCTACACACACGTACGGCATTTAAAAAAGATCAAATATGGATTTTACGTTACATTTGGACAAAACATTTACAATGCTTACCGCTTTTATTAAGGTCGTTGTCTCTATCGTGTTCAGGGATTCAGGTTCCTCATGAGTTTTAATTCAACTTGACTTGTATCAAAATAGCTTTGATGGCTCTGACATCCATGCACTCACACACACACACACGGAAATCCAAAAACTGGGTTGATATGTTCTTGTTTTTACATTTTTATGAGAAGTCAATACTATATTTTGCTGTTTGGGGGCTCGTGATTTGTTATTTGTTGTTTCTTGTATTTTGATAAATGCTCTTTTTGTTCTCAGACCTTATAGCGTCTCCACTTGTCATCTTCTTTGAAATCCCTTTACACATCTTTGAACCAAGCAGCCACTCATCTTTTAACACTCACATACTTCAGTGTGACCCAGGCCAAGAATCCCCGATAATAAGTGTCTGACATTAATAAATGGACGACTATTTTTCCGCATGCTATCGCACAATATCATGTCCTGTTTCGCTTGAGACATGAAAACATAACAGCCACAATGATTTAAGTATGTTCTAATCTGTTATTGTCAAGATTAATGCAACATTTAAAAAAATGCTTGTCATAAACTAGTCTGTGCATTGAAAGCAGCGGTAGGAAATGTTGCATCTGCAGGACTGGTATATGTTTTTCCTGCACACACTGAAGTGGCAGTTCAGGCTCTTTAATGACCTGATGACTTCCCACAACTCCTCTTTTAATCTAGTTTGGCTTTCACTTTAATCTCACCTCAGAATACTACCTCAGAAACTACTAAGTTTTATTAAGGTATTAGGAAGTGCTTAAGTCGTCATTTACATGGCATTATAATATATAATTATTATGATTATTATTAGCAGTGATGTGGTAGCAATGAAGGCTGTATATAGCTACACAACTATCATTGCTGTACATGGTGTAACAGTAACACATGGATAAACATCTGTATTTATCAAAGACATACTAAGGAGAAGTAATGATAAATGATGAATTAAGTGCTTACTAATACTTATACTTAATACTGTGACACTATTATAAAGTGCTACCTTGAAATCTATCTGAAGAGATACGGGTCAAATATGACCTGGAACAGCATCGGTGTACAACCATTTCTGAACAATGGTATTAAATTTTCAAAGAACATTTTTGCACATTTCTGGGTCACTTTAGGAAAAATCATCAAATGTCACGGTGAAATAATGACGTTTAGGCACAGCACTCACCTGGTAGTCATTATTATGTTTTATTAAAGAGCACCATTGAATAACAAACTTTTACCTGAACTGCACCAAACGAGCCAGGAGCAAAGCATTTCGCACTTGACTGTGACCCACACCCACACACTTGACACACTTTGTGCAGTCGCACTCACATGCAGAGCCCGGGGGGTGGGGGGCTATGTGTGCAACTGATATCTCATAACAGCTGTGACACAGACACCTAATAATGAAATAAAAGTTCAAAAATATGAATCTTCATCTAAAAGTTCGGAAAGCAAAAATTCAATTTGCACTTAAAATTCATCCTGAGTGTCACTTAAGTTTGAATCAGAATTAAAACCACAAACAGCATAAAACAACGGCGAAAATTAGCCCACTTAAGACTTGCAAATTCCTAAAAGACACTCTTGAGGTAAAAGCACAATACCCTTTGTGACGGGGACTTTATATAGGTCTCAAGTGTTCTTATGACCCATATAAAATAATACCGCAGTGGTACACGGGAAACCTGCCATCCATCCCTGTGTTACCACATGGGGGAGTCAGCCAGCTCACTGCAGAGGCAAAGAGAGTTGAAAGTTTTAAGCAAAGGTAAATAATTCCACAGTTCTCCTTCTCGCTTAGCATGACCGTCCTATTATTTTATTCAGTCTTATTTTCAGCTGTGGCGGAGAAAAGAGGGCGTGTGAAGTGTAACTGCTGGAAAGCCAGCCGTGTCACCTGAAGACGGGGTTGATGAGCTCTGGTAGGATCAGTTTCTTTCTTTCAGCAGCGGAGGGTTCACGCTGCTCCCTTTCCTCATCCTGGTTCAACAGACAGAGGCAGAAATGCAGGTGAACTGTGGGTTTGTATCCACCCAGAACACTTGGACACTTGGGTTTCAAAACGGAAATATAGTGTGGTACTCATTTTACTTTCATCTTATTTTCTGTGGTGTAAAAGAGCTCTGAGAAATAGTCTTTAATGAGCAATTAGTACCCAGTAGAGCGCAGTAGATGAAATAAATCGAATCAGCATTTGAAGAGATCATCATTTGCCTTTTTAAAACTGCTAGTTTAGGATTTAGTGAGGGTCAAATAATCTGGTGCAGGAGAAAATAGTTCTTCATGACTCTGACTGTATGCAACAACTGAAAGGCCTCAAACGTTTGCGCTGTACTAATAATCCGTATCAAATATCATCTACATTATACTGCAAAATGCAGTTATTTGTTGGAAACCACTTCAAATATGAGGAAGTTGTCTATAAGGAATTGAAATAAGCTCATTACACAAGCCAAAAATGATTAAATGGATTAGTTAGGAGACATGTTGTGACGATGGGGGCTCTCAGATGATACATCTGGTGCTTTTGTCTAATGTGACTTTAGACACATTAGACTTTGTCTAAAGTCTAAGACTTTAGTAGTTGGTTTCCAACAGGCAGCATTAAACTCACCTGTGAAACAGAAATTGCAGACTAATTTGGCCAACTAGTCAAATATTTCCCTACCTAGGTGTATCAGTCCTGGGTTTACCTGTGTGTCAGAGGCTGGTGTGTCTTCTTCCTCGCTCTGGATCTGTATCTCAGGAGGGATCTCAGCTCTGTCGGGCTGCTTCAGGTCATTGGACGAGGAAACAGGTGCAAAGACTGACCTGGAGGAAGCTGAGGAAGCACTCTCATCACTCGCAGGGGTAGAGCCAGGAGCTGTACGAACCAGCACTGAGTCTTTACCTTAGTTTTCATTACAGTTCAATGAAATAGCAGCGTGGCATGCAAAAAGATCTTTTTACTCACATATGCACGTGGGAGCTGTACTGCTTGCTTCATCTACTGACACAATCCCTAATCTCTGCTCTAACTGATGGATGCAGTTCACCAAATCCTGCAAGGTTCAAATTACAAAAACACAGATTTGATCGGGAAATGAAGGTGATGAGAATGAATACCTAAACTAATCAGCAGTCGCTCTCTAAAATGTGTAACTGAGCTTGGGGGAAAAACACATTTTGCTGTGTTCTGTTGCAGTTTAATTCATGCCTATCCTGTGAAGAGCAGAGCCAAAGCGCAGGGTTTAGTGTCCCTATACTGTTTCTTGTGGTAGATTAAAGAATCGTGAGCTGTGCTGTTGATCCGGTGTTGAATCCTTGCCTGGTTTTGAAGCTGTTCCTCCTCCCTTTCTTTCTGGACCTTTCTCAAACTGGTCCTCAGCTCCTGCAGCTCACGCTTCGCCTCACCCAGCAGCACCTACAGGGGGCAGCAACATTTATACTCAGACCGCCTGAACGCCCACCAATCTGAAGGGTCTTCTCGTCTTCCCTGCTGTTCATCACATGTTGTCGTGTTCATGGAAGCTTTTCTATTTGTGCCAGTATGTGAGTAATGAAAGAAGTCTGGCACAGCTCTCTGTACTGTAAGTTGAGCATCTCATGATGCAGAATTGCGGCACATAAGCAGTTATATTTAGAGCTGAACGGCGATTGCGATGTGCTTTGAGTTTCTTACTTTATTGTAGTCTTTCTCTCTCCCGAGCTGCACTTCTAGTTTCTCCCTCTCCATCCTCTCCTCCTGGAGCCACTCTTCCTTCTTCTGCACCTCGCAGGCAAGATCTTGCAGCTTCTTTTTGTCAGTCTGCACAAAAACATGAAAACAGTTTCGTTTTTTTGTTGTTTCTTCTGGCTTTTTTTGTTGTTGTTTTTTACTTTGATGCATATTCTGCATCCTCACTTCTGCTGCATGTCTGTATGCCTCTCTCTCCAAAGCCCAGTTGGCCCTCTCCTCCCTCAGGAGGAGGTTCTCCTCAGACAGCTGCAGAGTGAGCTGGGCCACTTGGAGTCGGGCTTGGTGCAGGTCAGTGTGGGTGTGACCCTGTCGGGTGCTCAGGTCCCTCAGCTCCCTACGCAGGCCTTCTGCCACGTGGTCGCTGGCCTCGAGACGTTCCTGGAGCAGTCGTGCCTCGGCCAGAGCATCCTCATTTTCCATCTTCGGGGAGTCAAGGAGCATGAAGAGAAACAATGTGGGAGAATATGCCAGAAGAAAAGACAGGAAAACATCTGATTCTCGTCTGTTTTTAGTGAGATGACGGGTTATTGTGTTATAGAGTGACAAGCTTCACAGCAGTTAACCTGCAGAGACTTCCTCTTCTCCTCATCGTGCTTCATTTGACAGGACATTTTCTTCACTCTTTCTTTCAGCCTGTGGTAAAAAATAAATAAATTCACTTTTCAGGCCAAAGTGGCTGGAGAGTGACTCAGCTGACATGTGTTGCGAGGGCTTGCCTTTCCAGTTCCCTGTTTTGCTCTTTCTCTCGCTCAGCCAGAATCTCGACATCCTCCTCCAGGTCTTTGATGCGCTGCTCTCTTTCAGCTTTTTCAGTCGCAAGTTTACTCAGCTCAGAGGCCAGACTTTCTTGACTGTATTTCGCATCCTTTCAGTTGCATGGAGAGAAAAGAGAATACATTTTTTCATCAATTTTCAATGATCAGCTATCAGTGCACCACTGGTGATCAGTGTGCACCTCGTGTTTTACCTCGATTGTCTTCAGCATCTCGTGGCTGTGTCTCAGGTTGTCTCTGAGCTCCATGATCTCCTCCTTCATTGCTTCTCTTTCATATTCCCATTCACTTCTTGCTTTTCTGCTGTTTTCTTTCTCATTCTCCGTCTCCTTTTTCGCTACATCCAACGCTTGCTGCAGACCTCCTTGCGTTTTTAAGCACTCCTCCAGCCGACTCTGTGGACAACACAGAAAGAAATGACGAAGCATTTTCAGGCATATTTCTAATTCCTGTGTCAAAGATAATAAAAAGAAATAAACATTTTCTCTTCCAACCTGCAGCAGCTGAGCTCTGGGAATGACTAAGAGCAGCTCTTCTTCTCCATCCTCTGCATCTTCTTCTTCTTTCAGGGTCTCAAGCTCCTCCAGCGGCTTGGGTGCACAGAAAGTGAAGGGACGACTACGGGCACACACCTCTCCTATCTTGTCCACATACACAAATTGGTACTCTACAGTACCGGGGCGGGGCAGGTATGATGCTGTATCAAGAAGACATTTCTTATTATCCTCTAGTGCCTAAAATTAGCTGTCAGTTACTGTCAGTTACAGTTACGATAATGCAAAATAAGGCCCAAATACAAAAAAACTAAACTAGTGCAGTACAATCTCATTATAAGCTCCTAATGCTTTGCATAAATTTGTTTTATTTGATCACAGTGAAAACATTAAAAACAACAGCTAATCTTCTATGAAAGTGCACAGCAGCATCTTTTTTTTACCGCCGTGGTATCACTTTGCTGTGGTGATGCAGCAGTGCACTCTGAGGTGTGTCTGTTACACAGGCCTAGAGCTCGGTCAGCAGACTGCCTGGAAACCCCAAATCCTTCCAGCAACTGCTGAACAACTGAAATTAAAACTTTCATTCTCTACATAGCTGGCAACAGGGAAAGCAGGTTGTTTTCCCCCAGGGTGTCAGGGACCACTGACGGGCGTAGTTGACTGTAGTTTAAGACATCACTGCTGGGTGCGACACAGAGACAGACTGCATATGAGAGGTGGACATAACCACTTTGACGTCCACATTTTGGGTTTTATCTGTCTGTTTATTTATTTGTTTGTCTATAGGTAGAAAACAAGCAAAGGGTGGGACTGATTTAGAAACTGATATTTCAGACATAACTTTTCAACTACACCCTAAATGATCTTTTTTCACCATCCTGTGTTACAATTAAGAATATAAACCTATCTGGATACTGCATACTGAGACGTCTACAAAATAGTTTTTCTTTGGTGAATCCAAAGTCTCCCCCTGCTGGCTATTAGAAAGAATGCAGGTTTAAAGAGGACCCGTTATGCTTTTCCTCGTTCTCTGTCATACATAAACAGTGGTGGATATTAAAGTTTCAGATTTTTATGTCTGTGGTTGTATAGTAATCACTCTGAGATGAAATGATGTCAAAGTGAAGGGATATCTATCGTATTCATTTTTTGAGGCACACAGTTTTGGAGTTTAGTCGTTGTGCTCATGAGGGGCAGCCAATGAAAAGGAGCTAAAAAGGCTTATTTCAGACAGATGCTGAACTGAGGTGCTGCATCAGAGCCAGGTCTAACATCAATAAAGTTTATTATGAAATATGAATCTATGCTTACAGGAACAAACAAACACACAGTATTTATCAAATGTGCAACCAGGGAGGACAGGGCAATTTCAGCCAGACAAACAAACAACAACAACAACAAAACAGACCATTAACCATCAGGAGCGTTTATGACAGTTCTTACCCTGGAAAACTGCACAGAAGTCAACACTGGTTCCCTCTGTGTAGCCTTCAGGAACAGTAGCCCATGTGTATGTGTAATACTGTTTGACTGAAGTCCATCCCATCTATAATAGGATAAACATACTCTATGTCATAAAGCACACAATGTGACTACCACGATGCAACACATGGGACGGTGCTGTAGTTGGTGACCATACCTCAAAAATTCCTATCCAGTCACTATTGCTCCACTGATGGTCTGAGGTCAGACTGTAGTGGCACTCCACCCTGGTTTGGGGGAAGTACACTTGCCCCACATTTCGAAACACCACCCTGGGCTGTTTGTCCATGACGATAGGAAGCTTTGCTGTTAAAGAAGAAAACATGCGAACAGCTGATGAAAGATGATAGCAGCATCGGTCCAGGAATGCAGCATGGTCATAACAGCAGTGACCTACGGCTCATCAGCTTGTTTACCTACTGAGGAGTTACATTATGCCATATAGCCTACAAAATAAACAGAGACCGAGAGATCTGGTTGTATCTCTTTGTCGTCACATATAAGAATGACCACTCTATTTAAAGACTAATGGAAAGTCTTTCAAATTTGTTTTTATTTATAAAAAGTCAGTTAGCTAATAGCTTTATACTAAAACATTTTTTAATATATTTAATTCCAAAAAAACATAAATATCATATAATAATGGTACACATAATAACATAACAAATAAAGCTTTTACAGAAATGTAAAAAACAAACAAATTATAATCAATCTTCCCTCATGTCTGCAGGCGAGACATTCAGCTAACAACTCAACTCGTTCCCATTGTTAACAAGTCAACAGGTCAATCTTGGCCTAAATGCTGAAACTCAGTGATGTTAATCTTACCTGAGTCTTCTGAAATGAACTCGATGGCTCTGCTACCTCATGCGGGACAGGAGCTGTGCATCAGTCTGTCGATACTGATGAGCAGGTGCAAGACTTTCACAACATCTCTTGAACCATGTGCAACCAGAGTAAAATTAGTGACACTCGCTGAGTCGCGGGAGATGCAGTTCATGAGTACACAGCTTCTCAACTGACACGGTGGAGCTGCGGACTTCAACTCCCATTACAATCACAGGACACGAGATCCTCTGCCTGGTGTTACTGCTGATTGCAGTTCTCAGTAGTGGCACGGGTGGGGGTGAGGAAATCATCAGAGCTTCACATTTATGTTAATAACAACTTCAGCGCACCCACCAGCCAGAAACCAGCAAGAAGCATAAAACCAGCAGTATCACAGCAAAGAGATTCTTTTTTTGTTTTGTTTTTAATATGGAAAATGAGGATATTCTGCACTTATTTCAATCTGATCTGATAATCCCGAACCAGTGATAAACACATCGTATCCAAGTTTGTTTTTTTAAGCAAAGACTGCAAATCTAATATCGTGTACCTTTCCCCCCCTGTGATTGTGTAAGAATCATGTCCCCACTCTGAACACTTGATGGCAGTGTAGCTTCGGCACAAAGCCAAGAGAGTTGCATTTGTTAACACGAAGTACTAACTGAGTAGGTTTCATGTGAGCACTTAATTCACACTTTCTCATGGTGGAAAAGTCTTTATGTAAAGAAAAACTATATAACGCAGAGAGGCTCTTGTGGGATGTTTTCCTATTGCCGTCAAATAATTTGATTTTAATTTTTAATATTATCCCTGCTGAGTCAGCATACCTGTAGGTATGATTTATTCTTCTAAAAAAAGAAAAAAGAAAAAAAAGCTGCAGTTCATAAATTTGCATTTAGGTTGAAAAAAAAAAATTCCATCTCGTCTCTTTCATGTATGTAATTCAGGTTCAGCCCTGCCAAAGGTTTCTTCCTGTTAAAGGGGAGTTTTCCTTCCCACTGTCACCAAAGTGCTTGCTCATGGGGGGGCGGGGTCATCTGATTCTTTTTAGAGCTATATTTTACATGTCAGTGTGGTCATACTGATAATAGTGCTTTCAACAATTATTCTTTTTATGATTTATCCCTGGGTTTCCCCAGTTTTCCTCTATATTTCTCTGTGGCCATAAAAGCGGAGAACTTTCATTAACTCAGTATTTCAGTTAATGACAGATTACTTTCACAACTGGCATATGTTTCAACAACCTGCTCCCTGCTAAACATATGCCTTAACTGGCAGTATAACTTCATGTTTGCAGCATCAGATTTGATCAGCCAGTATTTATTTCAACAGTAAAACAAAATTAAAAAAATAGTAAAATAAAAACAAAACTGAAACTGGAAAGTCAGTGTGCACACCCATAAAATACCAAGCTAAACGAAAATTTAAAATAGAGCTATAAAACGTGTCATAAAGAGCATCACAGATTGATTCTGCTCATGTAATTATCACTATATGAATATATTTTTTGTGCAACATGACAATAAGCTGTCTGTGCTGCCAGCTAAATTTATTTTGACTTTCACTAAATTCTGGTCTTTTCTAGTCCGATCTAATTTTGTGACCCTCGTTGATATTAACACAGCAACACTGTCCTTTTATAGGAAAGTCATCGGTCACATCTTAATTAGCTGATTAATATAAGGCCACATGAACTTTAATTGTAGGGTTCAGTTGTACATGTAGCACTTGTCATACGCACAAAGAAAAATACAATATTGAATATACACATACACCCTGAGCACCGTACAGTCATTAGTGTAGAAATATTTCTGGCTCCGTATTTTAAAGCCATGCTGCAGCCTCTGATCACAGCAGGAGTCTCGTCTTGAAGTAATGCAGACAGACCTTTAGAGAAGAAAAAGCAGTTGCAGAGCAGATGTGTTTACAGCATTTGTGGTAACAGATGTGGAAAAGCAGTAGTGTTACAGGTTCTCCTTGGAGCTACCAGCATGTGTTTGGACACACAGATGGCGCCATGAAGAGGTGAGTGAGTGTGCCCTTCTCAACAGTGCACCAAACCATCTGTGAACTGAAAGATACACAGGAATGCCACACATCCTCATCTGGTGTTGGAGTGAATAGATTAATCATGACTGATTGGTGCAAGTTTTAATTAGAAGGGATAGAACACCAAGTTCCTGCAGTTTGGCTTTAGCTACATCCTCCCAGCCCTTATTAGCCAGCGGGTTCCTGGGCGATGGATGCATGATGCCCTCAACACGCACATTGACACCTGCAGCAGACAGGGCCCGCCGCGCCCGTTGCTCTGCCACCTTTCCTACACCAATCACCATGGAAACGTTCAGTGCCTCCACCACCTGGCACAGTGCAATGTCACACAGGCGCAGCAGGGCCTCCCGTTCAGCTGCGGGCAGCTCGGGGGGTGTTAAATTCTTCCCGCTGTCGCTCATGAAGATTAACGGGCACAGGTTGTGCACAAAGCAGTGCTGGAAGAAGACCTCCGGGTCACCGCACAATTTTCTGAAGAAGCCCCAAAAACGAGCGCCGCTCACTTCGCTCTGAGTGCAGGAGAGCCCCGTGATTCGTCTCTTTGGGTGCTCATTTTGTGGGCGGCCGACCTCCCCCGTGATCTTCAGCCAGTCGACAACTGACTTCACCTCACCAAACGGGACCTGCGCAAAGAGAAGCAGATTATTTAAAGCAGCTCTGAGGTCAGAGGGAGCCTGGGAGTCTTCATGATGCAACACAGGGGTTTTATCATCTCTCCATTTTGTGGCTCCTCATTTTCTCTGTCCCCGGTCTTCCTTGCAGTGACCCTGCATGCTTTCTCTACATGACGTCTCAATTCCTTAAATACATGTGGAGGAAACAGGATGGAGAGAGATAGGAGCTATAATAGAGGATGAAGAGCTGTATCCTTTACAGATGCCACAGCAGTTTAATATCCTCATCATACAGGAAGATGACTACCAATTGTCAGTTGGTTAAGTTATTTAAGATGATCAGCTCTTCTCATCAAACTTTCTGCCCCCTCACTGTTGTGTGCGCAATCACAAAATGTCAAAGTGGGCTACACTGGGAATTTTAATTAAAAGTAGCGCTAAATAAGGGTTGTGGTAATTGCTGTTATAAACATGTAAGACCCTCAAATCCAGCATGGGGCCGTAATAAAACAGTGGACTGACAATGCAGCTGTGCTAAACAACACATTTAATTAACATGCTGTAAAATGACAGCGTGTTAATTAATTGAAGGTATGCGCAAGAGTATCTCTGAATAGGCTGAAGCTTGAAGCTGCAGAAGACCACACTGGGCACCAGTCCTGTTGAGTCTTCAGTTTGCATTGTTGCTTTAAAGACTGCAGTGTACCCATCCTCCGGCGTGATGCTCTCATGTCAATATGGACCAAAATCTCGATTGTTTCCAGCATCTTGTTGAATCTGTGACATGAAGAATTAAGGCAGCTTTGAAACCAAATGGGGGTCCGACCTAGTACTAGCAATGCGTACCTAATAAAGTGGCTAGCTAGTGTATATTTTGGTGTTAAAACTGTTAATATTGCTACATATTAGTCTTGTTTCATCACTTTGCAAAACAGTTATTCCATACAAAGCAATTTTCAAGTTCCTGTCCTGTGACACTGTTTAATTAAATCTTAATTCATTCATCCTGGTGTGTGCTGCATTTAATAGGCAGTATACACCATGTTGCAGGTCTCTGCTGCGACACCCCGCTGAAAACATGATAGGAGCGCCCCTGGCAGGCTGTCTCCTTAGTTTGTTTGCGTTAGCTTCCGCATTCACAGCCCTTTAAAACCTTTTACCACTGCTGTGCTCCTGTTACGGTCACGGCGATTTGGAAACTGTACTATGCCTCAAAATGTGTGCTCACCCCTGTCTGAGCCATTCCGAAAGGTCCGGGATTCATCCCCAAAAACAGGATCTTTTGTCCGGCCTGACAGTACTTCTCCACATAGCAGCGGTGGGTGTCCCAGGCGTACTCCAGCGGGTTGTAGATGTACCGGACAGGGTCGCTGAAGCGGAGGCCACGGAGGTGAGCGTTCAGCTCCAGTTCAGCCCGCAGAAACCTGGCAGAGGGGGTCTCATGAGCAGCATTAAAGCCCCGCTCCTTTGATTCACAGACGGGCACATTCTCGTCTCCACAAGCGACTTCACCGGCTTCACTCGCGGAAGAGTTTTCATTGAACATTTTTTTTAAATTATTATATATGCTCCCATTAAAAAAAAAAAAAAAGCAGCAATAACTTTGCGTTTTCAAACCGATAAAGTACTGAACCCAGGTTTTTGTTGTTGTTCGGGGTCTTTAAGCGAGACTATTTTCTTCCTCTGCGTCTTTCAGTCACTTGATTCGAGTCGGCTGCTGCCACCTACAGTAACAATGGTGTTATTACAGCCACCAAAAAAAGACAAGCAGAGTTATGACGGAGAGATTATTATGAGATGAAACTCAAAGAATAAAATCTATAGAAGACTACCACAGCAGCAAACATGGTGGCAGAAGTATAAAAATACTTTACAAAGTACTTTGTGGCAACATCCAACTTTTTAAACCGCCCCCTTAAAAAAATAAATAAAAGGGTTCAATATATAAAGCTAATTATTGAGAAGGAAGTTAGTTTGAATGCTAGTTCAAAATAAATGCCCAGAAGTGTTTAAAAGATGGCAGAACACACCGTGGACTGATTAACACAAATACATTTAACTGAACAAGTGTATATTAAATTTATATACACACACGCCAACTTCATTAGGCACAACTGTTTCACTGTGCGTTAATGCAAATATATAATCTGCAAAATCAAATGTCAGCAACTCAGTACATTTAGGCATATAGATATGGTCGAGATGACCTGTTGAAGTTCAAAGTGAGCATCAGAATGAGGAAGAAGCGTGACTTTGAGAGTGGCATGGTTTTTGGTGCCAGACAGGCTGGTCTGTGGATTCCAGAAACTGCTATTATACTGGGATTTTACCACACCACCATCAGAAGCATTTACAGAAGACCATCTCTAAATGCACAACACGCCCTGCAGATGGGATACAACTCCCGTTAGCTAACAACAGGAAACAGGGAACAGTTCACACAGGCTCACTAAAACCGGACAACAGAAGACTGAAAACATTGCCTGGACTGATGATTCTCAGTTGCCACTGCAACATTCAGGTGGTAGGAACAGAGGTCAATAACATGCTCTACCTTTTGAACACCAGTTACAATGTGAGCATGAACAAATCACAATAACCTCTTTTTTGTGATTGTCCTGATACCCTTCACTATGGGTTACAACCTTTGTCATAATAAGCTCACATAAACACCAGAGGAAATCATCTCTGTCAAAAGGACAATAAATAAAAATGTATTAAGTAGAAGTTACATTAAAATAAACAAAACATGGAGCCACCTAGATGTTAAATCAAATACAAGTGACATATCATTGAAGTGTTTTTTTTAAACTTACCTGAGATCAAAAACACACAAATTAAAAATAATAAATCATATTCCTTTACAAATTCTTTTTTTTTTATTATTTCAGCATAATAGTAAGAAGCCTCTCCTCTGATTTTCATACAGTTGAAACTAATTGGATCACAAGGGTACATATTAGTTAGCCCATTTTACATTAATCATTGTAACATTTTTTAGGAAGTTATTCTTATGCACTCATTTTCCTACACAAAATAATCAATATCAAGATCCTATCTTAACTGAGGACCATAACTCTGCATGCAAGACTAATAAAGAAAACAACTAATCTGTGATAGCTACTGTTATGCTGTTGTTCATCTAATACCATTGTCAATATAATTTAC